GAAACCCCTGTAGGTCTCGCAGATGTCACCTTTAATTCTGATAAAGAACCTACGGAAAGGAACGTGCTTCAGAGAGAAAATACAACAGCTGCCAGCCCATACTTCCCTGAAACAACAAACCACATTTTATTATTTGATAACTAGACCATAAACAACCAAAAGCCCCAACCCTGGATGTAAAAATTTTGTCTTATGGCCAGAAAATACTGTTACATTTTACGTCTTTAACTTGAAGGCGCTGCAGGGAGTACCTGGGAAGCTTCAGACTCTGACCACCGTTCTCACCCCTGATTTCCAAGCGCAGCCAAGTCCCAGAACTTACCACAGGCCCCTCCGGCCCTGGCCCTGGCCCAACTGGAATGTGGGGGGTACAGGGGATGAGAGTCAGGGAAGCTCTGGTCTGTAAGAAGAACTCCCAATGAGGTGTGGGGGGGAGTCTTTAGCTCCCTCCCCCAAACCTGGGTCTCTAACCCTCTAAACTGCTGGGGGCTCCAAAGACACCTAACACCCCCTAAAGGGAGCTCATCCCAGGATGCACAGGCCGTCCCCTCTGCTCCCCGGGGCGCTGCACTATACTCCTGCCTTTCATGATCCCGAGAGCAGAGACGGGGAGTGGGAACACTCACAAATATAGGGGCGGGACACGGGCAGACAGCGTGACGGAGCCACTGAACCGAGCATTGGCGGGGGCACCCTCGCCTGCCGCCCTTGAAACAGCCTCAGTCACACCACCAGATACACCATCTTCCTCTCGTTGATGTTCCTGCTCTTCAGCCCCAGGTAGCGGTGGCTGTACTTCTCTGGCTTCCCGTAGAGCATGTCCACGAAGAACTCGGGCCCGTCCCGGGCCTCGGGCTGCAAGGATGGGAAGCAGAGCAGAGCCCTGAGCTTGCCGCACAGGTAGGCTATGGCCTCCGCTTCGACCGACGGCTCCTCGTACGCGGGCTGCCTCCTGTCCTCGTAGGCGTCCAGAATCACGGCCTTGAACAAGTTGATCAGTATGCAGATCAGCAGCAGCACAAACGACGAGAGGAACAGGACCCCGAGGACCCTGCTACTGGAAAACTCTGTGTTCCGAAAGGCTGAGACGCAGTAGGAGAAGACGGTCTGAGTGGCGCGGACCAGGCTGCTGTAGTTCCACTCGTGCTGACCGAACACCACACAGCCAAAAGCCACGTACACGAAGAAACACGTGGCCACCAGGAGCGCCGTGTGGCAGATGCCGGGCAGGGCGGTCTGGATGACCCTCTGAGCCAGGCGCACATCGTAGAAGAATCTGGAATACCTGAGGGTCTTCAGAATGGTCAGAAACAGCAGGAAGCCCAGAATGATCCCCATGGCATGGTCCACCCGTGAAACCGCGTGAAAGGGAACGAAATCCGTGGAGTTCGCTGAGTAGAACAGAAGGATGTCGGTGGCCAGGAAGTGCTTCCTGAGAAACAGCGCGATCAGCACCCCGAAGGTGCACTTCAGAGCCAAGTTGAGCAGGTTGCACACCCTTGTCGGGTAGGAGGCCCCCTCCTGCGTGACGGTGTAGACCTCGTGCCCGGCGCCGGCCAAGAAGAACAGCAGGATCGCCAGGTACAGGTAGATCTCCGCCGACGTGTTCCTGTTCAGATCGGCCAGCGCAAAGGAGTGCGCGGATACGCTCGCGTTCACGACCCCCAGCTGGGAGGCCTCGAACACGATGGAAATGGTGCAGAACAGGCCGGCATCCGGGCTGTAGGTGGTCAGGTCCAGGATCACGGCCCATGTCTTCTCGTCCAGCCAGCCGCCGCTCTGCAGGTCCCTGAGCCTCAGCGCGGAATCAAACCGCTGCTGGTCCGGAAAAAAATAGAAAACATACCCCCCCGACCCATAGGCGTGCAGGCACCCGTGGGAGTAATACGCCCACTGCTTCTCGGGAGGCCTGTAGGTGAACCCCTTGGTGTTCTTCTCTGCCGTCTGCTTGTTGACTTTCTTCCACAAGCCGTTGTGGTTTTCCGTGTCCTCGGGGTCAACACCGTATTGGGGGTGACAGTGAATCTCTCCTTTGATGCCGTTTGGCCCGAAGTGTTTGGTGGGTGGACAGGCCGGTCCCCCCGGCTTGGCCCTCACCTGCCTCATCAGGGGAAGGCCGAGGATTTTAGAGGAGCTGTCGGGGAGGAACGTCGGACGCAGGTGGTTGTGGAACAAGGGCAGCAGCACGCCGTCGAGCCACGGATAGATGTCGTCCAGCTTGGTCACCGCGGCCAGGTCCACGGAGAAGCGACCGCGGATGAACTGGTTGTAGCGGAAGGTGTCGGGGCGGCGGAGGAGGGCGGCCAGGCCCAGCAGAAGGGCCAGGAGGAGAAAGTGAGCCAGGACGTAGCTCAGGAACAGCGCGGCGCCCCTCTTGACGCTCTTCTTCCTCTTGAAGATCTGGATTTCGTCTTCGGCGAGGGCCTGGTACATGCGGGTGCCTCGGAGGCGGGCCAGGCGCCGGTGCCGCTCGCGCATTTCCTCGGGGCGCAGCCTGCGCTCCTGCAGCTGGATCTGCGTGTAGCGGTAGTTGCTGACCCACGGCAGGTTTTTACAGTACTTGTGCCTGTTCGAGCGGATGGTTGACAGGAGTATGATTTTCATCGGCTGCACCAGGAAGACGGACTGGCAGAAGGAGCAGAAGGAAGCGAAGAGCCACTCGATGGACCTCTCGTAGCCATAGGTCAGCCCGTAAAACACAATGAAGAATGAAGACACGCCCGCGGTGGCGAACACCAAGCACCAGGCCACCCACACGCAGCACCGGGGCAGGGTGATCCTGCGCTTCTCCTGGAAGGGCGGGGGCCCCCCGGCGGGAGGCGGCTCCCCGGGGGAGACCCCCAGGCCGTCGCTCACGTTCGCGTTGTGGGCTCTGGCGTTCGCCCGGAGGCTCCGCGGGGCCTTGCTCCTGGCCTTGCCCCGTGGTCGCTCTGCCCCGGGGGTCTCCCTGGCGGACCTCCGGGGTCCGCCGTACCGCCCCGCGCGGGGCACCTCGGCCTCCCGGGAGAGCGCCGCGGCCGTTTCCTGGGCGTGCCACTTCTCCAGGCGCTCCTCCCAGTGCCCACCGCCCTCCGCCACGGCCACGGGGCGTTCCTGGGGGGACACCTCCTCTAAGGTCGCCTGCGGGCTCCTCTGGGAGTAGGTGAACAGCAGGGTGATGGTGACCTGCACCGGGAGGGTGATGAGCACGCTCTCCAGCCCGATGGCCATCGAGCGGATGTAGCGGCTGGCCCGGGGCTTGCTGTCCTTGTCTGTGTCCAGATTGAAGAACATGATGTTGCACAGCAGGGACGACAGCAGCATGGCCAGGCAGCAGGACAGCCGCTGCAGCCGGGTGAAGCCTTGGGCAATGACCCCGGCGAACACGGAGAACCACATGTGGCCCTTCCCCAGCCTGTCCGCCGCGTTGATGAGGAAGAAGTCCTCCCGCCTCAGGGGCTCGTCGGGGTCGGTGACTGGGAACGTCCTGTCCAGGGAGGAGTCCACGGACAGCCACGCGCGGCACATGAACAGCCAGATGTGCCTGCTGAACAGGTTCTCCACCTTGATCCGACTCAGGTACCAGCTGGGCGCTCTGCCCTGGTTGTTGTGCCACACGCGGACGGACTGAATGTCCCCCAGGTCGCTCCTGGCCGTCAGGAGGAACGTGTTGACGCTCCCTCGGTAGAAAGTTTTAAAATGAGGGTGGCTGAGGCAGTGCATGTCGCTGGTGCCTTCTGTCCCCCTGAGCTGGGCAAAGACATTGGCCCTGGTCCCAGACCCACAGCGGCTTCCCGTGAAAACGGTGACCAGGTAGCACACGTTGTCGTAAGGGTCGTTGTCGGGGAGCACGATCACCGCGTCCTGAAGGAACTGGTCGGTCTCATCCCTGTGCAAGGCCCAGAAAGCCAGGACAATGTAAGCAAGGATGATGAACAGGACAGTGAAGGCTGTCACCGGGTTGTGGGCGAGGTTCCGGATGACCTCCAACCGCAGGTCGATGGGGTTTGGGGGCACAATCACCCTGGCGGTCAGGTAGCGGATGTGCAGGTGGACGTTGCCCAGCCTGACCTGGCCCAGCTGCCGCCTGGCCCTCCTCGCGCCTGCGCAGACGCAGTGCACCCTGTCCCAGGTGGTCTTCTCTCCCAGGACGCAGATGTCCTCCCGCCACTCTCTCTGGATCCCATGCATGTCCGGGCAGTGAGCCCCGAAAAGAGCGATCCTCACGAGCCTGTCGTTCGGCTTCAGGACAAAATGAGGCGCCTGCAGGACCACGACCATGGTGCACTTGGAGGAGCTGCCGCGCTGAGCGATGACCTGCAGCAGGGACGGCGGGAGGCAGACCACGCCGGCCGCCCTCACCGCGCAGGCGGGGTCGAACAGGCCGCTCTGGTTGGCCACCGGGGGGATGCCGTGGGGCACGAGGAAGCTGGCGACCAAAGCAGCGGGGGCGATGTCCCCGCCGGCGTACACCGACACGGTGAACAGCACGGTCACCTCCGTCACGATGTGGACCAGCAGCTCCCTCACCTCCGTGCTGTCCACTTCGAAGCGGAATGCCCCCGACGTCTTCCTCGAGGACTGGTCCACCTGGCCGGGCTCGTCCTCTGGGCCCACCGTGAGGTAAAAAGCCGCGGCGCTCAAGTTCTTCCTGCCTATGTAGACTTCCGCCACGTCGGGGGTGATCTCCACCACGTCCCCGGCAGCTGTGGCGCCTGTCATCCTGAACCCGACCACATCTGCCGAAAGGCCCCCCCGGTAGTTTAACCAAGGGAAGGGGTCGTCTGCGAACTCGTAGAACACCACGGAAATCGGAGCCTTTGCGGACAAACTGGGGACGCTGTTCACATTCAGCGTCGGCTGGAAACAGTTACGACATTGTTTCTCGTTGCCTAGGACGTTGGTAACAGTCCACTTCTCCATTTTCCTGAGGTACAGGGTAAAGCCTGAGGTCCTCATGACCGTGGTCTCGTCTGCCGGCACTTTACCGGCCAGTACCGTGTCCGTCAGAGACTGTATGATGTAGAAAGGGTGGACGACAATCTCGTGGTGCGCGGTCATCTTGAGGATGTTGGCCACGCCTGTCAATATTCCAGTGCTCACCATTTCTATCTGTTCGGAGGGAAAGTCTGTGTCTTTCTGTTGCAGCTGTTGCAGGGCCTGATTAGCTTGCCAGATCTGCTTCGTGGCAAGTTCCCTAGCGACCCGGGGGAACCCCGACGTGTCCTGGGTCGATTTAGCAATAACCATGACTACCTGGCTGATTTCCTCCAGAGTGTTCACAGGGAGGAGGGAAGACTGGTTGATGAGGTGCTCGAAGAGCCTGGCCTTGTCCGCCTGCAGCGCTGCTTCGGGGTGCAGGCTATTTAGAACGGAGGCTACTATGTACATCGAGTAACCTGCGGACAGAAATTCCTGCTTTTGAAGCAGAGTGGAGATCTGGGAATTTTGTCCGATGGTGTAATTGAGTAACTGGTGCAGCACCGTCTCGGGAGAGTTTTTTTCAGTAGGAGCTTGTACTGTGGCGTGCACGGTCACCTGAGAAAAAGCGCCCAGGGAGTCGTGCACCTGGACAAAGATCTTCATGGCATAGTGAGTGTCCGGCACACCGACGGGGAGGAAGGAAGGGGGCGATGTGGGGTCGTTGCCCATGTACAGGATGGCTCCCAAGGTGTTCTCTTTTAAAGAATTGATTTCGCCAAAACCGTGCAAGTCAGACACTATCATTTTATACATCAGAGGGACGTTCTGATCCTTAAAATCCCTACACTGGACAACAAACTTAGTCAAAAATGCAATTCCATCTGTTGGATTAATTTTGCATTCTCCGATGTCAGGGACATAGTTAACAGTGAAGGGATACTTGAGGGCCAAGACCACGCCACTCCAAGCTGCTAGATCTAAAGAAATCCAATACCGGCTTTCAAGAAAGGATCCAAAAGCAAAAGCTTTTATAGTCAGATAATCGCTGTCCCTCCCCGTCGAAGTTTGCCCTGTCCAGTCAAACGCAATCTCGACCCCTGAAGATGACAGGATTGACCACTTGTAGATGTCGTGGCTGATGGCACAGTCTGTGCAATTTAGAAACAAAGAGAATCTGTCTGATACTATGAGAACCTTATTGCAGTTTTCAATACACGAGATATATGCCGTGGGCGTGGGTCCCTGCAGCACCTTGACCATTCTATCAGCAAATGCTGTCCTGGGGTGTTTCTTTATCACCATTCTGAAAAAATACACTTGGCCGCCTTTAAGCGTTCTGGGCAGAAGCGTCAGTACAGGGTCAGAGGCCAACGGCCACTTGAGGTCCGTCTGGTCCCGGTGACAGACATCCTTGCTTATCACTTGTATTTTATCTCTGACGTAGTTGCTTGGATTTGTGGTACAGTACCAAGAAAACTGGAGTCCCTCTAAAGGGTCTTCCACGTCTGGGTCGGAGGACATCGATCCGTTCAGAACCAGCCACTCCGTGAAATTCACTGTCGTGTTGGCGTTGCCAAGAATAACCGCTTTCAGGGAATCGCTCACAATTTCGATGTAGATATAAGTCGAGTTGTCTACCACAGTCTTAGGTGTGACCAGGCTCACTGAGAATCTGAACACATACACCCCCGGAGAGAAAGTATCCTTGGGGATGAAAATAGACATTGAATCCTGCCCTACCTGGAGTTGGGGCACCGCCAAAGGTTTAGTCCAGTCGGGGTTGTCAAATAGGGCGGGCACGGAATAGACGCTCCAGTGCATCTGCGTGCTCACAGCCGAGGCGCAGTCAGAGTGGAACAGGGCCCCGAAGGCGATGTCTGACTTCCTGGTGTACACCCCGGCGTAGGTGCCGTGGGGCTTATAGATCAGTACCGTTTTGATGACGCAGGTCTCCTGTCCCGATAGCTGACCGGACACTGAAGACCCCGCGGCCTGGAAACTGTCCGAGTTGACAGCTTCTGAAGCGACAGGCGTGAGCCCATCGGTCGGACACTCGGTTGGGGCCGCGGAGCGCGCGTGGGGGCGAGGGCCACCGGGCAGGACGGAGCCGGGGGACACGCTGGGGGCGGAGGAGGCGTCCGTGACGCT